AAAAAAAAAAATAGCCAGGTGCTATGGTGGGTGCCTGCAGTCCCAGCTATTTGGGAAGCTGAGGCAAGAGAATCACTTAAGCCCAGGAGTTTGAGGTTGCTGTGAGCTGTGATGCCACAGCACTCTACCATGAGACTCTGTCTCAAAAATAAATAAATAAATAAATAAAAATAAAAAATAAAATAAAATAAAGCCTACTTCCCACCCCCGCCAAGGGCTCCCTGCCTTGCTTAGAGTAAAAGCTGGAGTCCAACCTTCCACCCAGCAGGCCCCATACCACCAGTCCCCTCTAGTCTCTGATCTCCCCTGCAGCCACAAGGGCCAGGCCTTATTGACAAGGCTGTTCCCCCCCCCACCCCCTGTAGAGACACAGTCTCACTTTGTTGTCCTTGGTAGGGTTCTGTGGCATCACATAGCTCACAGCAACCTCCAACTCCTACGCTTAAGCGATTCTCCTGCCTCAGCCTCCCGAGTAGCTGGGACTACAAGTGCCTGCCACAACGCCTGGCTATTTTGGGGTTGCAGTTTGGCTGGTGCTGGGTTTGAACCTGCTACCCTCGGTATATGGGGACAGCGCCTTACTCACTGAGCCACAGGCACCGCCCAAGGCTGTTCTTTTCTGGGAGCTTCGTCCCTAAACCTGCATCAGAACAGCCTGCCTTGAGCCTCTCTTAATAAACCTGTGCAAGACACTGGGCAGCGCCTGTGGCTCAAAGTAGTAGGGCACAGGCCCCATATGCCGGAGGTGGCAGGTTCAAACCCAGCCGTAGCCAAAAACTGCAAAAAAAAAAAAAAAAAAACCTGTGCAAGACACGTTACTCATTTGGGGTCCCTCTCAATGCTCATCTCAAGGCCTTAATTGCATCTGCAAAGACCCTTTTTCCAAATAAATTCTTGTTCCCAAGTTCTGGGGATTAGGTCACAGGCATATCATTTTGGGGACCACAACTGCATTCTCTGAAGCATGGATAGAATAACAGGATGCCAGCATCTGGGGAGTCAGCCGAGGCCAGCATATTCCCCAAGCCAGCCTTACAGTAAGCAACGTTTAGGGCCTAGGATTTTTATGAGTTCCTGTCCTTTACAGAACACCAGCCCGGGAAGATGCCCCAGGGCTCCCCTATAACCAGCAGGGCTCTGCTTCCCATCCTGGCCTTGCCAGCCAGCTGCTCCCTTCATTAAAGATTCAGGGTGAATGGGGAAGTAGCTTACCTGGCATTGTTCTGGACTCACCTGGGTTTGTTTCTTACCATTTTGAAAATGATACTCCAGGCTGCTGCAGGAGTCAGGAAGGAGGGACCTGGAGTCAAGGCCCCAGAAGCCATTTAACCTTAGAACTCAGGGAAGGGCCTGCAGGGCCTCAGGCACTTTTTCAGGTCTGTAGAGAGGGAAAAGCCATGGCTCAGTTTACTCTTTTGTCAAAATGAAGAAGGAGGTCTAGGCTGGTCCCTCCTTTCCGTCGACCCTGATGAGTTTCAATAGAAATGCTTCAATAGTTTTTAGAGTGTTTTTCAGTTTATTTATTACCTTAATTACAAAACCCCAGGGCAAGGCGGCGCCTGTGGCTCAGTGAGTAGGGCACTGGCCCCATATACCAAGGGTGGTGGGTTCGAACCTAACCCCAGCCAAACTGCAACAAAAAAATAGCTGGACGTTGT